TACAAGTACAGGAAAGGTTTTGCTGTGTCTCTGTGTAAATTATGGGGCATTTTCAATTGAAGAACATGCAAAATAAAACAACTGTGCAAAAATTGGTTTGAAAATTTAAACAAAAAAGCTCAATTATGGACAGCTATCATCCTATTACTGGCCAGTTAGCTGAAAACCTTTCCACTGTGAGTGATAGTGTGGCTGAGACATCAGTTTGCCATTGGTCACTGGAATTGGACATTTCGACAAAGCACCATCCAGCATACAAAAGATCTGCATCTGCACCCAATCAAGATTCAACTGATGTAAAAACTGAAGTCAAATGATCATTTGATGCACTAGGTATTCATCAATTGGGTGCTGGAGAATCAATGGCAATTTTGCTAAGAAAATCATCTTTAGTAATGAGGTGCATTTTTACCTTGAAGGGTATGTCGAAAAGCAAAATTGTTGCATTTGGGACATGAAAAATCCTTGTGTTCAAGAACAACCAATGCTCAATGAATGACAGTTTGGTGTGGATTTTAGACCAGTAGAGTGATTAGGCCATACTTTGAATATTTTGTCAAAAGAATATGAGAGGGTCAAGAGTCATGAAGGCATTCATCAGATATTCTATTTCATATTTAATTGCAATGTTTACCCTTTAAAATGATATGAGATTAATGATATGCCAATTAATGAATAAATAATATGTTATTTTTTAAATTTAAATCCTGAATTACTCCTACATAACATGCTTAAATTAGCTTAGATTAATTATAGTTAAAATAGATTCCTGTTTANAGGTATTCATCAATTGGGTGCTGGAGAATCAATGGCAATTTTGCTAAGAAAATCATCTTTAGTAATGAGGTGCATTTTTACCTTGAAGGGTATGTCGAAAAGCAAAATTGTTGCATTTGGGACATGAAAAATCCTTGTGTTCAAGAACAACCAATGCTCAATGAATGACAGTTTGGTGTGGATTTTAGACCAGTAGAGTGATTAGGCCATACTTTGAATATTTTGTCAAAAGAATATGAGAGGGTCAAGAGTCATGAAGGCATTCATCAGATATTCTATTTCATATTTAATTGCAATGTTTACCCTTTAAAATGATATGAGATTAATGATATGCCAATTAATGAATAAATAATATGTTATTTTTTAAATTTAAATCCTGAATTACTCCTACATAACATGCTTAAATTAGCTTAGATTAATTATAGTTAAAATAGATAATAAAACAGTTACTATATTGTCATTTCATTGAATTCATTCAACCATAAAATAATATAAAATTTTTATATATTATTTTATGGATGAATGAATTCATATATTATATGTTATTTTATAATAATTTAATATTATAAAAATAACATAATATTATATATAAACTTTCATAATTTTTATTCTGATATAAAAATTATGGATCATTATGAACTATTGTATCTAAATATAGTTATGTATAATGATAAGAGAGAGAAAACCTTTCACATTTTGTTTCTAGCAGTTTTAATCCATAAGAACAAACATTTTCAGCTGTTTTGAATGGCCTTATTGTACTTGAAGAAGGCCATTCAAAACAGCCGAAAACATTTGTTCTTATGGATTAAAATTGCTAGAAACAAAGTGTGAAAGTTTTTGTCTTTCTTATTTTAAGTAGTTCTAGTTTTGTGTGCATGGAAATGTATAGTGATGTTTTAAAAATGTTTTTAAATATTAAAATACTATAGTAACTTGCTTTTAGAAAATTTAATAGAAGACTTGACAACACGATCCTTAAAACTTTCATATAAATATCTTTTAATTACTATAGAATCTGAAAAATTTCTACCTTTACCAAAATTTTGTAAGTAACAATATATTTTTTATGGAACTATGAGCCTAAGTTCTGGCTCTATGGAGGACTTATCACACACTATTGACATTGTCAGAGTAATAACACAGAAATAGGTAAACACTGATTTATTATGACAACGGTATGCATTTTGGAAACGATGTCTGTCCATCTTCAGCTATATCTATTACAATTTGATGGGTATACAGGAGGCTACAAAAATACAAGCGATTTTTTTTTTTTTTTTTTTGTTACAAATAGGTTTATAATTAAAATATTACAAAAATTACATTTTTACACATATATAAAAGGAACAATCTATTTTGTTGCTGATGTGTGGATGACTTTATATTTGAATAATATAACAATTTCACAGTCGTTATATTATTTTTTCTGGTAATACAGTGGAACCTCGGTATACGACCTTAATCCGTTGCTGATGTTTGGACTTATACCGAATTGGACGTATACCAAATTAACCTTTCCCATAAGAAGTAATGTAAAAATGATTAATCTGTTCTCATGAAAAAAATGGCTGGCTTTAAACACCTCGCTTTCCTGCTTGATTTTTCATGAGATCAGCATGTATCTTTTTAGCTTTCTCGCAAATAATTGCTTCTGATACGCTGTCTCTAGCACACTGTTCTTCAGTTATCCAAAGCAAAAGCAATTTCTTAACATGGTTTAATGTCTTTGATCTCTGTTTAGAAATTGATTTAACCCCTTTCGCAACATTAGCAGATTTAATAATGTCTTTATTTTTCGTGATTGTCGATATCGTCGTTCTCGGAATACGGTATGCAACAGTTAAAATCTCGAACACGCATGCCACCTTCATATTTCTCAACAGTCTTCTTTTTTCAGTCCCATTGTGATTCTAGTCATTTTTTTAGTTTTCTGTTGCTTTTCATTTGCCTTTTTGCAATTCATGATTAATAAAAATAATAAAATTTTACTTACAAATTAAAATCAGAAGAAATTTAACAAAGTTATAAACTGTTGCACCGCAAACGTCTAGTCTGGCCTAGTACACCGATAGTGCTATTTGTTCATAGATGGCACGTATAATTGAAGTAAGTTGTATACCGAGCAAAATTTGTTTCGTCCAAACAGGACATATTCCAAATTGGGCGTATTCTAAAGCAGACGTATACCGAGGTACCACTGTATTATATTTCAAATAGTAACCAGAGATTAAAATTGTTGCTAATGAAATTAATTGTGAAGTAAATACTATGGTAGATGAATGTAATACAATTGTATAAACAAGATCATAGTTACAAAAGTAAGAGCTGTTTTAAGAAAGGTTACATATGTTTTTGCACGCAGTCAGCTCGTATAAACAATGTTTGCTACTACTGAAGCAATGCTGCTATAGGGTGGTATCCAGTGTTGGTGATAAGTATTACCTGCTAGCTAATGGGTTTCAAATGTGTAAGTAAGGGTGCCACATGGGATCTAGTTGTACCCTTATGTTTTTGTCTATTTTTATCATGGATTTTGATAATTTCTAAATGTTTGTATAATTTAGAAATGCTTAGATTTGATTCTGTTTTGTAGCTTTATAAACAGAACTATAAGATGATCCATCTTTTTTCAGATGTATGCCTTAATTTTTTATACTGTGCATTAATTTTTGATAACTTTTTCTTTACATATCTTATCCACTATACAAATTTTCTGTTCTGTACTGTAGGGTATTTCTAGTTATTGTGTTGCAATATCTAGAAGTGTCTTTAAAATAACTAGAAATTTGGAAATTGAAAATATTATAATAATTAAACTTGGAAATTGGTGATGCATAATGAATATGTCAAGTACTGTACCTACAACTTGCAGTATCACCAGAAACTCCTTGTGATACTTCTCATAAGTTCACACTTCATTTGATCTCTTGCTATAATCAGATAGAATAAAAATAATATTTACATGAAAAGTTATTACTTATATAAAAGTAATTATTTTTATATCTATTAGTTTTTATGTCATTACAAAAATGCTTATTTCTGTATATAAAGATTTTAATTTTAAAGATTAAAATTTTTTATTGTTTACATATATAAATTTCAGAATTGTTATACAGTGGTGCCTCGTATAACGTACTTAATCCGTTCCAGGTGCATGTCCGTTAAGTGAAAAGTCTGTTCTACAAAACACATTTTCCCATAGAAATACATGTTAAAACATATAATTCATTCCACAGCATAAAATAACTGTACTGTACCATTAAAAAAAATGGAAATGGAACAGTCGCCAATTATGCCTGGTAGTCAGATGTTGTGAGGAGGAGGTGGAGGAACACTTCATTCATACAGATACAGACTTTTTACACATTGCAGCAGGTCTCTTTTTAATGTTTTTTAATCGGAGTCAGATTCAGGAGAGGCTACCGGAGCTTGCAGGGTCATCTCCTCTTCTTCCATCCTTTGTTTTTTGACAGCTTGCTTCTTGAAACCATGTCCAAGGTGGTCTGTTTCTCTCTCTTCAATACCTGTCGGAAATGACGGGCAAGGGTGTCATTGTAGAGATCATTGATTCTGTTGGCCTCAGCTCTGTTTGGATAATGAATGTTGGTAAACTCCTTAACCTCTTCCCATTTGACAAGGCAATTTTTGTCAACTTTCACTCATAATGTCTTGCTTAGTTTCAATTGAAATCACCTTTCTGTAATTTTAGAACCCATGATTTGCACAACACTTGAATAAATGTAAATACTCCGCACTGAGGTGATGTACGTAATAAACAAGGGAGCAAGCCGAATCCCAACGGGAGCTCTGTGCTACAGATATAATAACAATATATTCTAATAATACTAATATATTATAAAAATAGCAGATTGTCATTGACAACAGCAAAAGAGTGGAAACATCATTTGCACTTGTTCTCAGAAAGACTGTTGTTCGCCTCACGTAACTGCCAAACGGAAAGTCCATTGTTTGCAGCCAGTCCGTTGCTCGAGTCATGTAATGGCCAAACAGAAAGTTCGTTGTTCGCAGAGTCTGTTACTCGAGGCGTACATTATACGAGGCACCACTGTATATATCTTTTTAAATTATAATAACATAAAATGTGGTATGTAAGATATAATATAAGAATTATAGTACTTCATATATTGTATTAATTTTATTATGTTGATTTTATGTTTTTCCTGAGGCAGTTGTAGTCTTATAATGGTGACTTTTTACAGAATGGGTTTTTGGCTTATTTCTAAGCCTATTAGTTGCCTCTTACAACAGGAAGGAATATCATTGGTGCATTCTATGGGATACAATAGGGATTTAAAAAATGGAAAAGAAATTAAAGGTATTTGAAAATAGTCTACTACAAAAAATTTTTGACTTAGCATTTGATACAGAAAATGACAAATGGTGAAGACACAATTATTAATTGAAACTTATCAAAGCAACAGTTCATAGCAAGCAGTAGTATAGACTACAGTAGTATGAACATGTTATGAGATGAATATAAGAATTTTACAAAGGAATGTGTTGGAGTGTGACTTAGAGAGTTCTAGATCACAAGGAAGGCTGGCTCCCAACAAGATAAATTGAATGTTAGATGAGATTTGTAGCAATATTTGGGAATATATTATGGAAAAATGAAATTACAGAATAGAAATGAGTTGGATACTATTGTAATGGCAGCAAAAGAGCTCACTGATCTTTAGAGCCAGTTGATGATAATCATCATCTGGCCCTAAAGATAATTGAGGTCATCATCATCATTATATATCATCTTTTCTTATACATAATCATTTGATACAGTTTTATGGAACTAGAATATTGTTTTTTTCTACTGAAATTACTCTTTTTCATTATGAATCTCAACATTAAAATGAAATATTTTTTTGACTTCATTTGACTTCAATAAGAATTTAATATTTGTGTATTTTTTTTTTTTTTTAGTATTAAACCAGTGTATGGAGCTATGCATCCTCCTAGACTCGAATCACAGTAAGTTAGATTTTTTTTCATTTTATAATTAAAAGTAATTAATTTCTCTGATTTATTTTTATTTAGAAAATTAATTAAAATTTAAATTAGAAAATTCTATAAAAAAAATTGTATATGCTATTAAATGAGTAGAACAAAACAAAAAGCAAAATTGAGAATTGATAAAATAATTCCACAATGATGTAATGTTAGAAAAGCTCTCCTGAGTTATATATTAGCAAATACAATAATTTGGAGAACAAACATCAAAGACCCCTTCCTTTTTAATGTTTTATTTTATACTTATTTTCTTTATTAGAAAAATTTTTCTTTTTCAATTTAATCAAAAATATACATGTTGATTTAAAAAGTGCTAACTTAGAAGCATGGGCTTTAGGCTCTAAAAATCATTTGAGATAATTTCAGACAAGTTGACAGTGATAATGAACTGGACACTCTATGAAGCTATAAACATATCATGTCACAGTAAACATAATAGAATCAAAAATAAATCAAATTTTGGTACAGGTTTTATTATACAATACAGAAATTTTTACACATGTTCTCATAATAAGCTATTTCTACAGCTAGCCACTTTTGCCAGCATCTATCTATATCATTTGTCAAAGAAGACTTAAAACCATTTTTGTGATGTCTGTAATGACTTGTCACGGTGACTTACTGGAATCTGCATCCCTTCAACTTTTCTTTGATTTCAGGAAAGTGTGCAGTAGCAAAATCAAAATAGCAAGGCAATTGAGAAAGCTCTGTTATGCTTTTCTTGGTCAGATATTTGCTGATTAGGATGATCAACGGAAGCCAAAGTAGAACCACAGCAACTAAATCTCTTAAAGGCATTAAAAAATGGATTCCAATATTGCTTTGACAGATAGTATAAACACTAGAAATATATAGTGTATATTTGTTTTGAAGATGGTGGTCTGTAAATGTTCCTAATAACTTGCACTACATTAACAGTACACGTTTGGTTTATTTTTGACTTTGTGTCACATCATCTATTACTTCCATTAAAATATCATATATAGAAAAAACTATGTAAAATAACAGAAAATGTAAAAATTGTTCAAATCAGTTCACAAGTTTTATTTAAACAATAATTAAATTTAGTAAAATAAAATTTTTCAAACATAGTAAGAAGTGTTTATGATAATTCATTTGATTGTTCTGCATTTAAAACATTTATTTAATTAAACTTATAAAATTTACAAAAATTAATACAAAGTTGACTCTTCAAAAAATTGGATACTGTTTTGAAATTAATAAAGAATCTAAATTAAACTAATTAATTCTTCTGAGTGTAAATATAATTTCAAATCTAAACAATTTATAAATTAAAAAGAAAAGTCAAAGCAAGATAAAATACCTTATCTTATCAATGGGATATTTTATCATAACAATGATTGTTTATTGTACAGATGGGACCAGTTGGCCAAATACGTCTCAACCTAAAAGGTTCATTGTGCAATGATATCTGATATTACTGATTTTCATTAGAGATGTAACTGATACCAATCCAATACCGATATATTAGCATATTGGAATGTTCCAAATATATTAGAACCAATTTATTTACAAATTGATATTCTGATATATTTTTTGTTTTTAAATGTATCCTTCACATAATTTGGCCATTACAGACATTTGAACATGATAACGGACATATGCTGTAAAACTAACCAATAGTAGACAGAGCATTTTCTCCCCATGTGATTTTCCAGTGATAAAGATATGATGTATAGTTGGTGTCATTTTTGCAACACCACCTTGGCATTTCATAGCAATGGACAGGCAATATGCAAGCAATATTGCCAGGTCTGGCAATTTATCACCAGATTCAGCAATTTTAGGTCTGGCTTTTTCAATCTGGAAATTTTTCTATACAATTATAAATTTACTAGCAGACCCCGCCACGCGTTGTTGTGGCTCAAAGTGTATAAATATATAACACTTCCCCCGTGTGGGGGGAAATTTTTCGAAAAATTTCTTTTTAGTGTACATTCTCTTGGTGTGCGCTATTAAAACGGAATCAAAAATACAAAAAACCGCATCTAAAATAGTAGAAATAGAAGCAGAGTTCTTTATGGTAAGCCTTAATCCTGTTCATCTCCCCCCAGTGGGGGGAATTTCGACACGTATATTATATAAAAACACGTGCGTATTCGAATGCAGCGTTGTGTGAAAATTTCAAAGGAATTGGTAGGAACAAACGAACATTACATTTTTATTTATATAGATAGATAGATGATGATCTACTTTAGTCCATCCTCACAGAAAAGCAAACTTAGGGCGTCATACTCGTAGCACCATCTGTTGGACATATAAGCCAACCCTAGACAAAAATCCATTGTAGTTTTATTTAATTAATAAAAAATCTGCAGGTTTGATTAGTGGTAAACATTCCGGGGGTCATAAAGATGATACAGTTAAAATTTGGTAACGATTGGTTCAGTAGTTTTCACGGTTAGTGGTCACAAACGAAAAATACGTTGTCTCTTTATATAATAGTATAGATTCAGGGTGTGTTCAAATTTTTTTTTCTAAAGACAGAGCCAGAGTTAGGCCTAGATAAATTAGACAATATAATTGCCTAGGGCTTAGATCTGAAAGGTTCTTGTAAATCAATTTGTAAACTTCTATTTTTTTATACAGTAGAGTGTCGTTTATCCAAAACGTCGGTTATCCGAAAGCATTCCAGTCGGCAAATTTAAATTTTCGCTAGTGCTGTGGCACTGCAATCTTTGGCTATATCTTGGGCTACTCCAATATTTTTTATTGTTGGTGTGTGTGTTTTAGCTGGCAGCACTAGCACTTTTGTGTGATGTTTTTCTGAGGACTGTCGTGCTGAATCGAACGTTTTTGATACTAGATCAACTTCTAAAGTATATTTTTTTGGTTTTTATATTTTTCAATATATTTATTTTGTTTGTACACAATAAAGAAATAATTTTTAGCGATACAATAGCCACGATTATTATTTTAAAAAGTTTTCGTTAGACTTAATATCGACGAAAATTCAACGCAAAGCAACACGCAGCGGAGAAAAATTTCAACATGGGATAGGTTAATATATTTTTTATACATAATCGGTTATCCGAAAAATGAGTTATCCAAACAACCTCAGTCCCCAATTGATTCGGATAAACGACGCTCTACTGTACTTGAATTTAAATGGTTAGCATATAAAATGAATATTTTCTAAACCAATAAATTTTCTGGATTTCATTTATTATCAATATCTGTAGAGCAGAGGTTGCCAAACTTTTTTGATCATTGACCCTCTACAACTTTTTGAAACCTCACATTGACCTACACCAAAAAGTTTCTGTTACAAGCAAAAAAAAGCTCTTACTATTTTAATACATTTATTTTAATTTTACATTTTTTACATTTATTGTATATATGTTACTGTGAATGACCGATATCTGGCAAATGTCAACATTCTCCGGTGAATGTCAGCATTTCATTTCGTGTATGTACAGTCATTTCGTGTATGTACGAAATATTTGCTAAATATCATTGTTTCTCACTTACACCGGCAAATGTCGACATTCAGCATGCACTGGTGGTGAATGTTAAATAAAAATATTTTTATTACGTTAAGACAAAAATGCAACTTTTTAGTATGTCAAAATAGGAGAAAGCTTTAGTATTGATAACAGAACATGTAAATAAACTGTTGAACCTAAAACGAACAGTAGATTCTTAATCAGAAAAGAAAATAATACAATAATAAACTTACATATAAATTATGTGATTAACATTATACAATCTTATTTATTGCAACAACTTAAACTGTTGTGACACTTTGAATTTCACAAGAGTCTCTTGCTTTTACAACTGCATTTATTTGTGGAACACTTCTTTTTGCAATAACGTGTATAGCCTTGCCCTCCACTTTTCGAATTAGCTGTAGATGCTTCTCAGCAATATTTCTTGTGAAGAAATCTCATCTATGGAAAGTAGCTTTTCTTTACAAATTACAAACTGATTATATGATTATGAACTGATCTGTTAATGGTGTCTTTTATTCGGATATTGCCAACACCTTACCAATGACCCCTCTCATCCTCTGCCACTCGACCAAGCAATAAGATGCAATACTCAAAATTAATTAAAGGAGAAAAGCCTGTAGAATATCCATCCTTTGTTGATAGTACCTGCATTGAGCCATCAGTCAATGGTTTCATAATCTGAGTTTGGTGTTTCAAATCTTGATGGTATCATGTAAATTTTTTTAATACAAAAACTATAATTTTTACTTTATTCTTGGTATTTTCAAATTTATTATATTTAAAAATTATTTTTAAATATTCATGTATATATGGGATTCATACTAACATTTATTTATAATTTATTTAGGAAGAGGATTAGATATAAATAAAATTATCATTAATCAAGGCCAATTTTGTTAATAAAAAGACATTTTTACCTGACAAAAACGCCATCCAGTGACAAAGTGGGTGGTTTCTACCAAACCATTGTCAGTAAAAGAGATACAACCGTGTCCTACCTCCGGCTACCCACAAAGTATTTGGTGACAGATTGTCACCTCTCTGTCGACATTGGCTTTTCGGGTGTCGTTTTGACCTCCACCAAAGCTTATCTGTACTTGTCAATATACACCGGCGATTGTTCAAATGTATAATAATATAACCAAATATTCGGTATTTCACCGACGTATTTTGTATGTATCGACATTCATCAGAGAATATCAACATTCTCTAATTTCGGTCTTTCACAGTAACATATATGTGAAATACTAAAATTAAACAAACAGCAGCTTAGAAACTGCGACAGAGGTGCTAATAACGTCAGCATACTGCAAATCAGATACAAGCTTATGAATGCTGCAAATGCTTATCATATGCTATGTAATAAGAACTAGAACATGGACTTGGCAATTTCCATCTGTCCTGTGTGACTTCATCCGTAGCCATTTTACATGTTGATGGGTAGCTGTACTATTAAATTCATTGAATCAATATTCAAAGACATAATAATATGTATAGTTATATTTGTGATTTTAGTTTCAATTTTTCAATTGAGCCCCCCAATCAACCTCCAGTAATGTTATATCAACCCCCAGGGGTTAATATTGACCACTTTGGCAACCCCTGCTGTAGAGTATGGATAGAAGTGAGGATCAGATCAGTTGTAAAATTATCAATGTTGGATCATACAGTAGACCCCCTATAACATGGTAGATACGTTCCGTGTTATATGAATTCTGTGTTGTACAAGTCACTTAAATACATGAGCCAATCACAACACAGCACGTGTTCAGTTTAGCGGCTATGGCTGTTTGAAAGGTTTTTTCCATAAAATTAATCGATTCTAGACTAATTTGACTTAACATTTCCAAATCACATATAATTTTTTGGGAATAATCCATATAAACTATTCTATAAACAAAAAATTGTAGGATTACTTACCAAGTGCTCACCGTTCGAAGACACCATTGCTTAAGCTTCTTTCCGTTGCGGAGCAGCTCATTGAACGGCAGGCGCACGTTTCCTGATAAGTTATTTTTCTGCAAAAAATTTGTTGAACATTGGAGACATCATTAATATAAATATAAATTTTATGGTCATTAAATAATAAATGGTTTTTAGTAGGTCTGCTGCTCGTTTAAACTCAATGGTTTGTGCAATGTCCGCTATTGGTCTAGATTCGACCAATCTTGTCGTGACATGAGTCGGCGATGATGTTTTACCGTGTTATACATGTCTCTTTTAGCATGTTATACAAGCACGATCGCAATTTTTTTTTCTGTGTTATATGAACCTGTGTTATAGGGGAGTCTACTGTATTGGCAGAATTGTCTTCTAAATGGAGTAATTTTTTTTCCTTCAGCTTTGTCTCTATTTTATTTTCCAAAACTATTGTTAGTATAAAAATTATCATATATAAAATAAAAATATTCTACACTATATATGTATGTATTTTTATATTAAACATTTTTTATTATAAAAGATGAATACTTTTATAATAAATGTTTTGGTTTTTTTTCATTATTTATGAAGATAAATAAATATATATTATAGAACAGTTTTTCTCGACCTCTAACGAATCGTCACCCCCCTTCAATAAAACCATTACGTAGTATTGCCCCCTTCACTTCGAAAACAATTTTGTTGGGTTTATTAGTTTAACTTTTTACAAAGTATATAATTATCAAATAAACATTTATTTACTCAGAATACATATTAGATTTTGATATAATTAACAAAATTAAAATTAAGCATTATTTGCTGTGTATCCCTGCTGCAAGCTTCAAAATTCCAATGTTAAGGACTGAGGCTAATGCCACATTCATATTGCATTAAATAGACTAGTCACTAGTGTAATGTTATTTGTTTAATTATTGTACGATATAACGAATAAAATATCTAATTATTCTTAATATAATATTTTACTATATTGTCCAAAAAAATTATTTTTCGCCCCCAAATTGTTACTAATCGCCCCCACATGGAAAAACGCCCACATGGGAGCAATATTGCCCCTATTAAGAAACACTGTTATAGAATATATATATTCAAAAAATTTTATTTTTTTATGGGTTTTTTTTATATATAACAAAAAATACTTAAACATTAAATAGTTTTTTTATTATAGAAGATTCATTCAGAAAAAAATCAAATAATTTTAAAATACATAATTTAGTTAATCATAACACACCTTTTACTTTGTCGAGGTAGTTTTATTGAAAACTAACGGTTTTCAATAAAACTACCTTGGCAAAGTAAACATCCTCAGATTGAATAAAAGAATTGGAACATCTGCATTCCAAAAATGGAATACATATACAGTGGGTATCGGTTAACGAACAAATCGGATAACGAACACTTTCACGAAAGATTTTTATGATCAGACTATGAACACTTCACTGAACAAACATAAAAAGAAGTGACGGAAAATAACGAATACCGATTGATTTTCCCTTGTCTTCAGGTAACAATTCGAAACCTTTTGGAGCAGAGGAGATGTCAACATCAACGCTCAACCTGATACCGATCAAATAGTGTTTCCCTGAACTTTGAAACTCTCCATTGTAATTCCAGCTTTTTGTTTACTTTTCTGACAACTAATTTTTTTATAGTTTTTGCAAGACTGTCGGGCACTCTATAAGTTTTGTGTCGGTTTTTATTTTCTAAAGGTGAGAGTTTAACTGTCCTATCGGGTATTCATTAATATTTTAACACCAAAATTTTGAATTCCATTCGGGCCTCACACTTACATAATTCTTTCATGCAGTAGTTGATTTCTGTTCTCTGAATTTTTGTGAGTGCTTTTCTGAACTTTTTATTTCAAACAGAAATTGATAATATTATAGAGCATAAAAAGAGTGGAGTGTCAAGAACTGTGCTCACCATAGAAACCAAGCAAGAGATAATAGTCAAAGTAGAGAGTGGGCAGATGATGTCTGATGTTGCTAGGCAGTATGGCTTGAACAGGTCTACAATAGTCACAATCTTAGCTAAGAAAGATATAATCAAGAAGACTCAAAGAGCTAAAGGAGTAACAAAAATCACATCTGAGAAACAAAGATGAGAAACAAAAATTTCTTTAAAACACGATCCCAGTAAAGTCACAAAGTTTACACGTAACAGAAATACAAAAGGCATTATGAAAGAAATTGAGGACTGCAAGGAGTCAAGTATGATTCTGAAAAGAGCTCTAAACCTATATAAAATTTTAAGAAATGACAAAGATAACATTAAGAAAGAAGAAAAAGCAGGGATCTACACGATTCTTTATGAAAATGTACAGCTAGGAATTAAGAAAGAATATGTCGGTGTCACAACAAGGAATTTGGGTGTAAGGCTCAAAGAACATAAATATAACATCAGAAAAGGTTCCAACACAACAGTACTTTTCCAGATGGTGCAGACCCAAGGCTCATTAGTAAAATGGGTCGAAGCAGATATTGTCAAACCCTTGCGCTTCCCAATATTAGCAAGGACAACTGAGAAAATTGAAATTTACAAAAGCAAACTGGAAGAGGTATGCATAAGTGCAAGGGACGCAGAAGTCCTACCATCGGCTTGAAAGTTTATGGTCAAAAAGTTTACCATGAACTCATAATTTATACATTAATAATTTATTTTAATGTTTGTTCAAAGTAATATTTGTAGATTATTATTTTCATTACTATATATGAGTTTGTTTTTTATTTTATATTTTTATACATTATTCTTCTGTTATTTTCTTGTTTTTATACATTGTCTACTTTGGCAAAGTAAAAGGTGTGTTATGATTGTCTAATTATTTGCTGAGCATACACTGTTTAAAATACAAAATTTAATATTTACAAATTTAAAAAAAAAAAAAAACTAAAATTTGTGATTTTAAAATATGCGAGTAATATTACTTTTTAATAAAAATTTTATAGTTTATATGCATAAGTTTTTATTATAAATTAACTTACAATAATAATAATGAATTTTTTGAATATCGAAATTAATGTATAAAGACAAATGAAACTTTATTATTTTATGCTAATTTAGTATTTGAGATGTTTTATATGGTTACAGAACATTTTAATGTTCTATAATTGCTCAAAAATGTCTTAAATAATTATTAATAAAAAGAAAATATTTTGCTAAATTTTATATTTATTTGTGTGTTAAAATTTGCACAGTAATCTCATTATTTTCAAACAGATTATTGTATAGTTATTCCTAATAAATTAAATGTAATGAAGTATTTTTCAACTATAAAAGTTGAAAAATACTTATGGTTTATTATATAAACTTTTGCATTTCTATAAAAATTATAAAAGATAATAGATTATTTCTACCAAATACAGTCAANCAAAGATCAGATTTCTCTAAATCAAAGCAACTACCACCCCTGGTATATTAATATTCTTAACATCTCCTCTTTTCAACCTTATATGTGGTTACCAATAGATCTAAATGTTAAACGATTAATTATTCAGTTACGACTCAATAAATATGCGCTGTTCGTCAATAAAACTTACATAAATCTTTCAAATACTCGTTGTCAATTATGTCAATCCGAAGATTTTTCTGTACTCCATCTTTTTCAAAATTGCCAATCTCTAAATTATTTGCATAAATAATATGATACAATAAATATATGTAATGGTAGTTCATCTCTAGACTTCAAAAATAACTTTAAGCATTTTTTCTGTTGATATTTTTTTAGAATTTATAATTTTTTTGTCAAATACACTGAAAAAATTATTTTGTAATATTTAATTATTTGATTTACATTGTTGTTTTAAATCATTGTTAATGTATCATTAAGTTACTTTATGTTTGTATTGTCTAAATTCACCAAGTAATGTTATTATTATTTAAGTGATCTTGCTAGACCATGTTATGTTATAATTAATACACTTATTTGCAATATGTATATTAATCATGTAAACCGAAATAATATTTGTTATTGTGAAATTTGTATTCCTCCTTAATAGGGAAAATTTTCCTTAGAAATAAAATATTATTATTATGTTGGGTTTAGTCGGCTATACTATGGTTACATTAGTGGTATTATTATTATTGTGTTTAGTGCGTTATACTTGGTTCACACCGGTGGCAGTGTACTATGCCGGACCAGAGTCAAGGCATAGCAACCAAAACAAAACTAAAATTAAATAAGTGTGTCAGTGTCTGTATTCAGGAATTTCCTAACAATATGGCATGTATTCAATATAGTGGCCTTCTGTAGTGTTATGTATGTATNTACCTGACCCGAGGGACATGGAAATACCAGGTGGAGAAAAATGGGTTTTTTCCACATTATAATTAACTGTATAATTAACTCCAGGATCTCACACTATTAATGCAATAAATTATTAACACTAATCGGCCGATTAATCGGTATCGGCCGATAATGCATGGCCGATTAATCGGTAATCGGCCATTTTGCTTATCGGTGCATCCTTAGTATCAATGTATTCTGTAATGTGTGTGTTGTGATGTTCATGTTTTGTGTGTGTTTTGATTTTGTTGAAAATGTTTTTGAGTTGTTTCATTACTTTGGGTGTTGTGTTGTTTTTAGTGTATTGTGTCAGCCTGCCTAATTGCTGTCTAATGTCATTTATTTGTGTTTCTATTCTTCTCTGCCAGGCAGGCTTGTGATAGAATTGTGTTTTGTGTGTGTCTGTCTGCAATTGTATTTTCAGTCCATGGTGTGTCACTACTGTGACTGCCCCAGCATAAACTAATGTATGAATGTCTGAGAGTGTAGAAATTGAATGAATGTAGTTTGGTAGTAAGTGAGTGTTTACATAATTTAATGTTTTTCCTACTTCCTTCGACGTGTTGATTTTTGGTATTTGTGGTCTTTGTGTGGGATCTGTACCAGTATATTTAGTGAGTGTTTCCTGAAATATAAGTGAGAGCGTATTAACTAATTTTATGTCTAAGTTATCAGTGATGGATGAGGAAGTGTCTGTAGTATGATTAATGGTAGTTGTTGTATGTGTACTATTATCAATGCTTGTTGCTGGATTAACCTGACAGGTTATGTGATCTTCATTAATAATGTTAAATGTTTCTGTCTGTTGTTGTATTTGATCAGCAACCTGTTGTTTGATAAGTTCAAGTGTTGTTTGTGAGATAAGGTTGTTGTGTATAATTGTTCTTTTTTCATGAACAACCCTTTGTTCGGTGACAGTGAGGTGAGGATATTGTTGTGTAAATATATGGTGTAGCTGTTGTCTGTATGCTGTCATGTTTGTTTCGAGTCTTGTGATTGTGTAGTAAGTACGGATGATAAACTCTTTCATTTCTGATGTCCATTTCATCTGTTGGCGTGGTTTTCCAGCCTTTGTGGTCTGTGGATGCATTGCCACAGAAACACCTAGGCTAGATTGGTTCCTCACATCTGTTGAGGGCATTGCAGTAGCCATGCTTGGGCCGGCGCTGCTTTTGCCACCGGTAACCAATGGAGACTGTGGCCTATTTTTCGAACGTGAGCCTCTGCCTAACCCACGAACGCAGACCTTGTTAACATGGGCAACATCTGAGTCGGTATCACACTTTGATCTTGTTACTACCATGATAAATATCTCCACAGAATGTGGGTGTGGTGGTCATTCTTAGCTTCATTTCTCCTCATAGACCTTACTAGCATGGGTGTCTCTACCAGGAGCTTGTGCTCCAGCCTGCATTGCTCTATGGATCAGTAAAATTACTGGGCTCTCCCACCACGACCAGGTGGTGACCACGGGAGAGTTGTTGTTATTAAAATTTTTATTAATATCATCATTAAAAAATAACTCTTAATATGTATATAATGATTTCAAAAATACTTGTAAAGACATATTTAAATATAATTTTAAATAAACATTTTGGATAATTATAAACCCTAAATAAACTAAAAATGTTTAAATAAATTAAAGAATTAATTTTTGTTTAAAAATTATTTTCAGAAAATTGAACAAATCTATATATATAAAAATGAATGTATGTGTGTGTGTGTGTGTGTCCTTCATGCATTACCACACCGTTTATCCGATTGCTGTGAAACTTTGAGAAGTTGTTTAATATACTCCTGTGAAGGTTACTGGCGTAGTACAATTGCCATGAAGTTTTGGGAAGTTTTTTAATACACTCCCACGAAGGTTTTCTGGCATTTATCCTATGATAGATTTCACGCATTTACACAAGCATTCAAGCAGTGTGTGTTCAATCGATTTCAAATTGTGAAGACCATTCCCCCCCTTCAAAAAATATCTCTATATATGCATTTGTGAACTGTTATTTATGATATTTGTAATAATATTTGTTTAATCACTTTATTTCAACTTTTTTTGCTAATTAAGTATTCGCTAGAACTTCATTAAAGCCTTAACTGTACCCCGAACAACAACCAAAGTTGTAGGAAGAAATTCGCGTATTTTACCGATCTAGGTATCCCCCTTTTCCAAATTTTAATATCGACTCAAAATAATTTTAAAAGACAAATTACAATAAAACGGTTTATTATACAACTATCAGAAATTTCACAACATGCCAAGGAAGAGAGGAAGGTGCAATTAAATAATTAAAGATATTAAGGATTGAAAAAAATATATATA